AAAGATAGATCATCGGATCGTCGTAACGCTTTGTCTTCGTAACGCTTTATCGTCGTGACGCTTTATCTTCTTGGTGTGCTGACCGTGTGCTTGTGTCTCCGTCGCAGAAGGAGCTCTCATTCACGGTGTGCCTTCAGTACCAGTACGACAGCATGGATGAGCAGGTGCAGGAGAGGCTGACGGTCTCTGTAGGCAAACCCCTGGTGGCTAAGCTGAACCTCTCCGAGGCCTGTCTCCCCTGCCACGCCTCCACGGCCTCCTCCTTCGACTCGCAGATTTTCGGCCCCGCGGGGTCTGGGTGTTCCCCCGAGCCGCTTCACTGCTGCCCCCCAAGCGCATACAGCCAAGGCCCGGCCTCGGCCTGCTGGGCGCCGCACGTAAAGCCGGTGAACTGTGCCGACGCAGCCTGCCCGGGCAGCGCCAACATGCCGGAGGAGACCTTTAGCCCGGAGTTCGAGCTCCTCCAGACACAAGCTCTTCAGGCTCCCTCAGCTGCCTGTAAGAGTGTGCAGCCCAGTGGTAGCCATTTGGAGGACCTTCCCATCCAGTCGGGCAAGCAGAACTTTCACTCTTTTTAGAGTCAAATCACAGAACACATCTCTTAAATTGCCACTAATCTGTATTATATTTTAATGCAGGATTGCACTCTGTTCTATTATAAAGCATTACTTAAAGTTAGCATAACTGCATGTGTGACGCTAATCTTATATTTAGTATCTATTAACCTAGTTGCAAAGCAGCTAATGCGGTTGTTTTTTTTTGTTCTAGATTGAGTTTTATACTTTAAAATGACAATTTACATAATGAGCAAATGACCTTGTGATTGATTGATGGATGGATGGATGGACATGGATGAACACCTTTGTTTATGAGCACACTAATCAATAATTATTGTTTGCTTGTTTATTAATCAAGAAATGTGGGTCTTTATATATAAAGGTCATGACAGTAAAACGCTAGGTATGCTTATTTTTGTAAAAGTATTTACTGTATAGTAGTTAATGTGAACTGTAGTATTTCTTAACCTAGATGAATGTAATAAAGGACAACACGGAACATAATGCTCAGATTTATTTTCCTGGGTATTTATTGAAGAACAACACCTATTATGAAATTAGTTCTACTGGACAACACTGCAGACAGTGGTATGTTTAATAGAGATGGTATTTCACTGTTTCTTGCTATACTGAGGGAGCAAATGTTCTCTTAGTTACGCAAGTTAACTTTTCACCGAAAGCTGAATGCTTGACGCCCCAGTCCTCGTCCTTACCACTCTGCGTAAAAGGTCACTAATCAGAAAGGCTTTTGCTGTGGCTGAGAGATGGTAGCAGGGAATGGTCATTTTTCGCTGGAAACTGTATTTCCTGATCTTCACTAATAAAATTGGATTTGTTATGTATAATGCCTCTGGTCTTTATACATAGGCATTATATATTTAATTCAAAACAATGTTGAAACAAAGTGCTCTGTCATGTCATGTCATGTCATGATAAATGCCACCTTGTCAATGGATTTATATATGGCTCATTAAAACCTTGGCAGTAATGATAGCTTTACATAACAATAAAGATGCAGGAAAGTCTGAATCATATGACAGTGATGCATGATTGATAACATCGGCCTGATCTGCCACAGTGTGCCACACTAGCCACGTCCAATGGCATTCTAACAGCCGCTAGCCACGTCCAATGGCATTCTAACAGCCGCTAGCCACGTCCAATGGCATTCTAACAGATGTTGAACTTGCAATATGTATAATTTGATTAGAATTTCATGATCAGTGTTGACACACCACAGTGAATAACAACGAAATGTGTACTTAACCATATGTGACATCATGACAT